TCTAAAACCAATAAACATACCCTCTTGTGAGGATTTTTAAAAAATTAAAAAACAAGCCCTGGTTGGTGTAGCTCAGTGGATTGAGCGCAGGCCTGTGAACCAGAGGATCGCGGTTCGATTCCCAGTCAGGGCACATGCCTGGGTTGCAGGCCAGTTCCCACCAGGGGACGCATGAGAGGCAACCATACACTGATATTTCTCTCCCTCTCTTTCTCCTTCCCTTCCCCTCTCTCGAAAAATAAAGAAAGAAAATATTTATTTAAAAAAATTAAAAAACAAGTGTAGCTCAGTGGATTGATTGAGCATGGGCCTGTGAAGCAAAGAGTTACTGGTTCAATTCCCAGTCAGGGCACATGCCTGGGTTGCAGGCCAGGTCCCCAGTAGGGGACACATGAGAGGCAACCACACATTGATGTTTCTCTCACACTCTTTTTCCTTCCCTTCCCCTCTCTGTAAAAGTAAATAAAATATTTTTTAAAAAAATAAAAAATAGGGCCCTGGCTGGTGTGGCTCAGTGGATTGAGCACGGGCCTGCGAACTAGACAATTGTGGTTCGATTCCCAGTCAGGGCACATTCCTGGGTTGCAGGCCAGTTCCCTGCAGGCCAGTTCCCAGCAGGGGACGCACAAAAAGCAACCATATATTGATGTTTCTCTCCCTCTCTCCTTCCCTTTCCCTCTAAAAGATAAATAAATAAAATCTTTAAAAAAAATAGTAGTAATGCCTCCATGGCTCTTTTTTAAAAGATTTTATTTAAAATACACCAAAACTATAAAACAAGGTGTTAGTACCACTTGACAGGTGAACAAACTGAGGTTCAGAGAGGTTAACTAGCTGACCCAGAATCCTAGAAAAGTGAGTGGTCTTCCCATCAGGGACCAGGGGCAAGACTGCAGGGAGCCTGAGGAAACAGGCTTTTTGTCAAATAGATTTGGTTCTACTTGGGATTGAGCCTTCCAGTACCTTCAGCTGTTCTTTGTGGAACAGGCTGGGGGTCTCCTCTGAACACACAAGAGTTTGCATTCCTCAAAGCAAGGGTCTGTCAGCTCAGGGGACCGTTGGCTGCTGCTCACACAGCACGGGTTCTTTCACAAAGTTGTCCAGGCTGTAGGCCTCACCACTGTCTCCCCACCACCCCATTTCCCCTCCCACCCTCCCACACTTGTTCAGCTACAAGAGCCCTCAGAGCTGTCTATACCCAGCCAGCCATTCCTGGCCACTCCCTCGCCTGGGCTAGGAGCCCCTGCTTCTGGCCCCTTTTAGAAGCTATCAAAGCCCCCATTCTCTGAACAGGAGCACAGCTGTGCCAGCGTTTAGCACTGCTTCCATCCTCCCCCCCTCCTTCCGACACACATCCCTGTGGCATGGGACCCAGGTGCCTGTGTGACTTGAAGGGCCTCAGAGAGGAACTAAGCTGTCTGGGCCCCTACCCCCAAGACTGAGAAAGTGGGGGCAGCTTTTCAAGGGGCTGGGAAGGACAGGCTTTTCCAGTGACCGCTGCGGTAGGGAATCCAGTGAAGAAGGTCCAAACTGGAAACAGTGCTCTTGGGATGTGAGAACCTGGAGGGGAGATGCTCTTTCCTCAACTTGGGTCATGACCTCAGCCAAAGAGGGAGAGGAAGGAGATTGATTGTCTTCATCCAGAGAGACTGGAAAACTCCCCAGGGCTCAGGAGGCCAGGAAGCCAGCCGGCTGGGCTGCATGTGGAAGAGGGAGGAGAGCCCCCCACTCTCCCTCCTCTCCGTCTTCTTTCTCTCCCCTCAGAGGGACAGTGGGGGCCCTGGCAAGCCCGGGACCTAGGAGGCAGCGGATTTCTTTTTTGTCATGGTCAGTTAGTTACCTACTATGTGACCCTAAACAGTCACCTCACCTCTTTGGGTCTCAGTTTCTTTGTTCAGAAGATAGCTAAGTTACCTGAGACATTCTCCTCATGTTACTTGGCCAGGGGTTCTACTTGAAATCTGACTTTCATTCTTCCTGCTTCCAATGATTTTGTTTGCTTTCAGCCAGTTCCTGAGGCTACCTTTCTGAGACATAAAAGGAAAGGTCTTAGTTTTTGCCTCTGCTCTAAAAGGGAATAAAAATGAGAGGTGGTCACATGGCCATGGCTTAAGACACAAGTGAAGACAGTAAAGAAAGTCCCTGGTCAGCAGCTGCCAGTGAAAAGTATGATTAGACTTCAGTGTGAATTTTCACAGCTAGCAATGTTGGAAAAGTCTTGGAGAGGTGTTCCCCAGGAAATCCTCGAGAAAGGGCTCTTTGCCCAAATAGTGAGTCCTCCATCCCATTCACAGAGAAGTGGCCCACTGACCTCCTGGCCAGGATATCTGGTGGAGATTAGGGTGTGTGTGTGTGTGTGTGTGTGTGTATGTGTGTGTGTGTGAGAGAGAGAGAGAGACAGAGAGAGAGAGAGAGAGACAGAGAGAGAGAGAGAGAGAGAGGAGCAAAGGAAAAGAACTAGATTTTGCTGAGCCACCAGCCAGGTGCTTTCCTTACCCAGCCCAAGTGCAGTAACCATCACTGAATGTGGTAGATGTCACCCAGTGCAGTGAGTGTCACTCAGTGCAGTGAATGTTACCCAGTGCAGTGAATGTCACCCAATACAGTATGTGACACCCAGTGCAGTGAATGTCACCCAGTGCAGTATATGACACCCAGTGCAGTGTATGTCACCCAGCGCAGTAAGCATCACCCAGTGCAGATGTTGCCCCATACAATAGATGTCATCCAGTGTGGTAGATGCTGCTACAGAAGAGTAAATAGTTTAGAGAAACTAAGATTTTTTTCAAGGTTTTGCTACCACAAATGGCAAAACAGGAGTTTGACCTCAGTGGCCATGACTCAAATACTGGCTCTCTCACCAAGATCTTCACAGCAGCAGCTGTCCATTCTCCCACTATGTTTGGAACAGACTGTACCAGGCCTTGTCTGGACCCAGGTGCTGCTGGCTTCAGTTTAGGTTGGACTGCCCCAAGGTTACCAGACTGTGCCCACAGTTCTGGTCATAAGGGGATGTAGTAAGGAAAGTCACTTCCTCCATCCCCCCAGGTCACAGCCAGGTTTTCTGGAGGCAAGAACTGTGGTTACATGTGAGCCACCAGTGGGATTGAATTTCAACCGCTCAGATGCCTGGCCCCATGGAGCCCTTAAGGAGAAGAGCCGTGCCGGGCAGGCTGTATGCCCATGCCGTGCTGGGGCTGTCCTGGAGGAGGGGAGTTCTCTTTCAGTTTGGGGGTGAGAGATATGGGTGGAGTCGAGGGGGGTCCTTGGGCTCCCAGGTGCTGATCTATCCCAAAGGCCTCAGATCCTTCTTTCCACTAGAGGACATGGGACAGCATTCTCAAGGCCTGTAATAGTGCTGGTCTATAGTGGACACTCAGTTGATATTTATTTAATGAAATCAATAAACTGAGGTGTCTTTCTCCCAGACCAGTCCAGATATGTTGCTTTGTCCTCTTCAGTCTCACATCCCCACCAGAGGCATTTCTCTTACTGAGGGACTGTACCACCCACCACCCCAGGTCTTCCTGGCCTGTCTCTACAGGAGATGGGTCTTTGGGGTGGGGCCAGAATTCCATCCTTAGATCCTCAAGGGTTGGGGGAGGAGTTTTTTTGGTGAGCTTCTCAAAGCCCTTGGAACCAAGTCCACAGTACTGGGACTGGAAGCACAGACATGGGTGAATGGGGTGGGTGGGGCATCTGATAGAAGGCAGTCCAAGATTCCCTTACAGGAGGGACTTGGGTAAAGTCTAGATGGGTGGATAGGACCCTGCCCCTGGGCTGCATTTGCATTGCAGGCACCTCACTTTCCTTGGGATATTTAGGGGGTGTTTCAGAAGATTATGGGGATCAAAGCCTCCTACAAGCTCTCCTCAATGCTACTGCCACTGGTATACCAGGGAGAGAATCCAGGCATTTGGCTGTCCTGCTCACTGTCCGTGCCAGGGGCTTTGCCTGCAGTCCTGGGGGGAAGAAGGAGGAGGGAGGGGAAAGAAAGCCTGGGAAAGAAGAGGGAAGCAGAGGCCCTGGATCTGGGGAGGGGGGTTTCATTGGTATTCTGAGCACTGAGAAGTCCCCAGTGGCTGGGTAGCAGTCAAGGCCCACCTCCTGGCACCAGGCTGCACATTCATCTTCGACAGCCCTGGCCAGGGGGCCTCTGGGCTCCCAGCAACCCTTGCATTTTGCACATTGGTTTGCATGAGCAGTAATGTCCATTCACAGCGCCATTCCCCTCCCCTCCTTCCACCAATGTCTGGAGAGTTCCTGACTTGCTTTGCTTAACCCATGAATCTGCTGTCTAACCTCATCCCTCCTGCTGCAAAATCAGCTTCTCCTCTGTTCTGAGAGTGGGAACACCACAGGAGACAACATCTGATCAGAACTTCCTCCAGGGAGGTAGATAAAGGCTTCTGCCCTCATCCTGTCTCCAGAGAAGAGCTTTCCTCCCCCATTGTGTGTGTGTGTGTGTGTGTGTGTGTGTGTGTGTGTGTGTGGAGGGGGGGTGTCACTCCAGGAGCGAATCTTCCCATTCCCTCTTCCTTTTTCCCTACTGTCTAAGTCTGAGTCCCTTCTTCAATCCCCTTGACCGATGGGGAAGTCCTTCAGCTGTCTAACTTCCATCCCTCCAGCTGCAACATCATCCGCTCCCTCCCCACCCCTCCTGCCCTCCCTCCCAATTCCAAGTTCTCGGCTTCTCAGCCCCAGAAGGATGTCCTACTTCGGTCGTCCTTGCTCTCTCTGCTGCCTCCAGGAACCAACGCCGAGAAGGCAGCGGGTCCCTTGACCTTCCCGAGCCCCACTATGTTCGGGGCCAGGGGGCGGGGGCAGCCGTGGAGAACGACAGGGCGGGGCGGAGGTAAGAAAGGGGGTTTTGTGCACGGCCGGCCCGGCGCCCTCTTCTGAGCGTACTGCGGGCCCAGCCTCTCGCGCCCGCGCAGTCCCCGCCGTAGTCCCAGCTGTAGCTGCAGACCGAGCTGTGGACCTGGCTGAGAACCCCGGAGAAGACGACAAACTTCGCGGTGCTGTACCCCAAACCCGGGCCCTCAGCCGCCTGCCGGTAGGTGAGCGCGACCGCAGCTGGGGCGCCCCCGGACCTGGGAGGGAGAGAGAAGGGAGCGCCCGCTGGCCGCCCTGTGGTCCTTGCCCCGCACCCCACAGACCTTGCCTCTGAGGCTCCAGCGCACCCAGCTCGCTGATCCCTGATGCCTCGGCGGGGTCTGTGGTCGGCCAGCCCGGAGCACCTATGGTCCCTGGCGCCCTCTCGTTCTCTGCCTCTGGCGCCCTCACTGCTGCTTGCAGTCGGGCCGGCAGCTCCCTTGGAGTCCGCGGGCTGATGGGAACGCCCCTCTTGGTCCTCACGTCCTCCCTGCTGCGCGCTTCATCTCCGTCCTTGCCAGGGGCAGAGTGGCGGAGGTCTGAGTCAGCCCCCGGACTCTGCGAGCGTCCTGCGGGCGTCCTGCGGGCAGCACCTCGCAAAGAGCGGAGGCTAGCAACCCCTCCTCTGCGGCACCTCCCGGAGACCGGAGGACAGTCCCTAGGAGCCTCTGTAGCGGGCGATCCCGACGCCCAGGGGAGCTGTCATCCCACTCTGGCACTTACGGGCTGGGTGACCTTGGTCAAGTTAGCTGACCTCCTGAACATTGGATTCCTCACCGGTGTAAGGCCTAAACAGCATTTCTCTCAAAGTTGAGGATATCCTTGGGAGACATTGAGCCAGAGGCCTGGGTCAAGTACCACTCCTGCTTTCCTTCCTAGAACTGCCAGGAGCTGGAAACTCCCTCCCCGCAGGCGTTTGCAGAATAGCTCTTCCCGCATGGCTCTCACGGGACAAAGAGATCTGCCATCAGTTTAGTTATCACCATTAATATCTGCATTGCTTCCATTCCAGCTAATACCAGTAAGACCTACCCACAGTATTACCGGTGCCTGTTTTGTCGTGGCTAATTTTGCTGTTGATGAAAGCATCATCCATTTTTCAGACTTTCTATTAGAAGGAGCTACAATTGCTCCTCTAGTGATGCACCTCTAGCAAGCTCCTCTTGTGCTTCCAGGAAATAGGACTGTTTATACCATTACTGCAATTACTCCTGCAGGCCCTGTAGGGTTTTTTTGCTGCTCATATAGCCACTAAGGGGGTAGCTGAGAGTGCCCCCCCTGCTGGGACCTGCACTCTGGCCTCCCCTGCAACCCAGCGGATCCTGCTGAGCACTGGAGCAGGGGTGCCATGGGGCACACCTTGGACATCAGCTGGGGGGCATTCAGCAGGGAGATGGTGGCTGTTTCTCTCTCTCTCTCTCTCTCTCTCTCTCTCACACACACACACACACACACACACACACACACACACAGAGCCTGGTCTCAATTCTCTGTGAATTGGGTCTATGAAGCCTGTGAGGGAGAGGGACAGCCGTGGTCAGATAGGAGTGATAATGGAACAAGGGGAAAGTGGGGAAAGTTTCCTGAATGGCCTGGGAAATTCAAGACAAGGGCAGAAATCTAGACCCTAGAGCAGGGAAGACAGCGCTGGAGTGTGGGATGGAGTGGCATCGAAGGGAAGGGGAGAGAGACTGCTGAGTTCCTGAGGCTGGGGATGGGGTGGGGTGTCTTATTCTGGAGGGTGAGAAGACGGAAGGGAGGTGGGCTGGTGTGGGGGATGAAGGCAAGGCCTGGGCCCATGGGTCTGGCGCTGGACCAGGCATGCCTGAGTTTTCTCAAGACTCCTCACTGTATCAAGAAGGGGCTGAAGGGCCAAGCTTGGTGTTAGTGGCAGGTTGGGTGGGAGAACTCTCTGTGAGAACAATGCAACTAAGGCCACCCTCTCCAATCAGAGACTCCCATTCCTAGAGGCAGGGGTGGAAAACCTTCTATGTTCCCAGGCAGCAAGGGCCTCAAGCCTCAGACCTTCTCCCTTTGTTCCCCCACCTTCAAGATGCAGACAAAGGGGCCTTGGTCCCAGAGTGGCTTCAACTCTATGGGTTTCTTGGCCACCCATTAGACAGCTAGGAGTCAGGTCTGAGTAGCACCAGCTTCAGCCCAGAGAGAGGGGAGAGAGGGTGCCAGGGAGGGGCCTGGCTTAGGACCTGGCACAGCTCAAGAGCATGGCCAACAGTCTCCCCAGCACCACCAGGTATTGGCTGCTCAAGACAAATAGTCCTCACCAACCCTAGAAAACAGTCCTCCCAAGGTCCCCCCATGCCCAGGGCATTCTCGGCACCTCTGATCTGGCCTTATCAAAGGTCAGAGAGATGCCCTGGGAATCTGATCCCTGCCATTCCTCCCCCCACTCTGACCCCGAGGAAATGATGTCCAGTCACAGTGGGGGAAGAAGAATTTCTCAATGGTGAGGAGAATCTGAGAGAAGACAAGGATTTCTCATTGGCTCAGGCTCAGGAAAATGTATGAAGGCCGATCCTGAGAAGGCAGGGAAGATGGAGGTTGAACAAGGGGCCTGAAATGGGAATGGGTAGCTAGAGGGAATAAGCCAGATCTTTAGTAAGTCTTGTCTGAAGTCTAATCATCTCTCCTGATGCAACACTGGCCTGTTCCATGACAGACTTGGGTCCTCATGGTCTTCCAAGTCTAACTTAACCATTAAAGATGACATTAGACACAAGCTCTGCAGACTTCTCTCCTGTGGGCACACTGGCTTGGTGCCTGACTTGGCTTCACTGGGGACTGCCATCAGCCCTATTCCTGTCTGGGCCCCATTTCTCAATATTACAGACCTGTCCCTCCATTATGACAGTGTAAATACTTTGAAATCTTCAGAGGCATATTTTGGGTTCTCACAGCACTTCTCATAGCCAAGGGCAGGAGGGAGATAGCCCCTCCCAGGGTCAGGGTAGGGAAAGGAGAGGCTGGATGGAGGCCAGACTGGCAGAGACAGGGGCTTTGTCCCAGCTGGTTTCTGAGCCAGGAGATCCGGTGGGAAAGCCCGTGCCAGGCAGAAAGGAAAGGCTGAGAGGAAGAAAAGAGAAGGCAGCCAAGGATGGGGGTGGAGGTTGCTGGGAGTAAAAAGAAGAGTTTCCTTATAAGTAATAGTGGGCTAGAGGGTGGTCGAAGAGGGGTTGGACTGGGAAGCTGTGCATCGCCCGGGTTCAGTGTAGGAGGCCCTTCTGCAGGAGGCCAGGTCACTATGGTGCTCAGGGAGAAAGGGGCAGGGAGGGCAGTTTCGAGAGATACTGTGTTAGGAGAAGATTCTGGGTTTAAAGAAGGAATCTGACACTGGAGGAGCAGAGGGAACACCAAGTGTAATAGCACCCACGATTCATGCTATATGCTATACTATACGTATTTATTGAGTTCCTACTGTGTGTTGGATGCTGTATATTTGCACAGGATTCTTTAGGATATAAAGCATTCTCGCCCTGGCCAGGTGGCTGTTGGTTGGAGTGTCATACTGTACACCACAATGTTGTGGACTCTATCCCTGGTCAGGGCACATAAGGGAGGCAACTAATCAATGTTCCTCTCTCTAAAATGAATAAACATATCCTTGGGTAAGGATTTTTAAAAAAGATATAAAGCATTATCAAAGCACACAGCCTTATCACAAACTGCAAGGTAGCAGTATGGTGTTCTTTTGCAAGTAAGAAAACAAAGGCCCAGAGAGGGTAAGGAACTTACTTTAAGTTACACAGTGAGTTGACTAGAACCGAGGTCTTGGCTCTAAAGAAGAATCCTTTGGTAGGGAGACAGGAATCAGAAACAGAGTTAATGGTGAGGTGGAGGCAGTGGGCTGCTGGGGCCAGGGCCAAGGCCAGGATGTGTGTGAGTCCATGCGGATGTGGTAGGGAGCCAGGGTAAGTCCATCTGAGGTCTAACCCAGTCTTTCTTCCTTAGGTCTTCTCCCCATCAGCCGGCAGTATGGTCCCACTGTTCCTGGTCCTGCTGGTAGCTCTGACGTCAGCCTGGGTCCCTGAGGTCTTAGCTGATGCCCTGGAAAGGGACAGCTCAGGTAAGCAACCCCCCTGAGGTCGCTTTCTCTGTCTCCTGCATCTTCCCTATGGTAGGAAGAGGCCTCTTGTTCTGCCCTAACCAACATCTTTCAGCTTGGGGGTCTTAGGAAGGAGGAGACAGAACTGGAGGACTGTGGGGAAGGGTCTGGGCTAGGACACTTGGAAATAAGGGATGAGTTGTGGGTCCCTGGTAGGGCGTGGAAACTTGAATCCTGGAAACTCAAGCTGGGAAGGGGCACAAGGTGCAAGGCTGCCAGCCTCTACAGTGGAGGGTGGGGGCTCCTTGGGACAGGGCAGGGGGCTGGGAGGCAGAACATAGGTGGAGGTAGGAGGGATTTTGAACACTCTGAAAAATTTTGAGCGCAGGGCTGTGGGACCCGGGAGGCTGGGTTAGAAGACTGTGGGTGGGGCCCAGGAATCCAAGAATAGTATTCTGGAGGCTGAACTGACTGGGAGACTTCAGAGAACTCTCTGGGGATCTAGAGGTGGGTTTGCAGGACCCTGAGGGCTGGTCCTAGGTTGTTAGGAACATTTAGGAAAGCCCAAAGAGAGAGTGGGAAATCCTGGGGTGGGGCGGGAGGAATCCTGGAGCGGGACCTGGAAACCTGGGCTGGGACCTGGAGGACCCAGGGCTGAAGTTCCAGACTGTCCTGCCCGCCCACAGAGGACCGGGCCTTCAGCGTGCGCATCGCCGGCGCCCCACCGCTGCAGGGCGTGCTGGGCGGTACCCTCACCATTCCGTGCCACGTTCACTACCTGCTCCCACCGTCGAGCCGTCAGGCGGTGCTGGGCTCCCCACGGGTCAAGTGGACCTTCCTGTCGCGTGGCCGGGAGGCCGAGGTGCTGGTGGCGCGGGGACTGCGGGTCAAGGTGAGCGAGGCCTACCGCTTCCGCGTGGCACTGCCCGCCTACCCGGCGTCACTCACTGATGTCTCCCTGGCACTGAGCGAGCTGCGGCCCAACGACTCAGGCATCTACCGCTGCGAAGTGCAGCACGGCATAGATGACAGCAGCGATGCTGTGGAGGTCAAAGTCAAAGGTGAGAGGGCAGAAAGAAGTTTCCGGATGGAGGAGAGAACTCCAGTCCTCATGGAACCTACAGTCTGAGGGGGAAGCAAACACACCTGAAAGATACAGACTGAGTTGGAAAAGGACTCAGGAGATACAAACTTTCATTGCCCCCTTTCTCTCTCCAGTGAAATTCTACGTATAGTCTAACTTAAGTCCCTCATTTTGTAGAGTGAGCATAATTTGGACTTTACCTTTTGTGGACAGATGAGTGAGAAGAAGGGTGGGGGGAGGTCAGTGTGCAGGGTGAACATGCCTCAGGGGTCCTCTCTGCCCCTCAGGGGTTGTCTTTCTCTACCGGGAAGGCTCTGCCCGCTATGCGTTCACCTTCACTGGAGCCCAGGAGGCCTGTGCCCGCATTGGAGCCCGCATTGCAACCCCGGAGCAGCTCTATGCAGCCTACCTTGGGGGCTATGAGCAGTGTGATGCTGGCTGGCTGTCTGACCAGACTGTGAGGTGAGCTGGGGCTGTGGACCAGGAGCTTCTAGGTGTCTCTGAGGTAGCTGTGGCCTCTGGTCCTGCCAGGGGCTGCCTGCTGCCTCAAGCTGGCCATAAAGGTTCCCCTGCCTCCTAGGAATGAAGTTGGTCTTCAGAGGATGGGTGAGGACCTGCCCTGGAGGTGGGCATCCCTGCAGAGCTTGGAGGACAGTTGGCTGCACTGAAAAGCAGTGCGATTTGGGACAGTCACCATGGGATGGTTCCCTAGTGAAGGCATCTGTCCTCCCTCCGCAGGTATCCCATCCAGACTCCACGAGAGGCCTGTTATGGAGACATGGATGGTTTCCCCGGTGTCCGGAACTATGGAGTGGTGGACCCAGATGACCTCTATGATGTCTACTGCTATGCTGAAGACCTAAATGGTGATTGGGGCTGAGGTGCTCTCAGGGGACAAGCCCTTTATCTAGTGCTGTCCATGAGTCCTCTCGGGGCCTATGCTGGACCTATTGCCCTTCATGTGTTTAAGGGGGTAGCCATGGGTAAGGAAACAATAGATGTCCCTCCTTCCAAACACTGTCAAAGAGGCAAGTTCATGGTCAAAGCCTTAGGCATGTGGTAGGAGACTGAGTTTGGTTTTTGACTCTGCTGTCATCCACTGTGCATCTCTCTACCTCCAGCATCTCTAGGTCTTCCTTCCTTCCTTCCTTCCTTCCTTCCTTCCTTCCTTCCTTCCTTCCTTCCTTCCTTCCTTCCTTCCTTCCCTCCTCTCTCTCTCTCTCTTTCTTTCTTTCTTTTTGCAGCATGAGGAATTTGATCCAGGTTCCTCTGAGCAATAATATCCAACCTGAGGTTCTATTTAGACTTTGATGGATGAAGTGGGATAATTGACTCCTTCTCACAGATGAGGAGACTGAGGCCGAGAGAAGCTCGCCCAGGATCTCTGTGGGGACCCAGGGTAGAAGGAGCTACCAGCTTCCTGGTAACCCAGCCTCCTTTTCTCTACCAGGAGAGCTGTTCCTCGGTGCTCCCCCAGACAAACTGACATTGGAGGAAGCACGGGCATACTGCCAGGAGCGGGGAGCAAAGATTGCCACCACGGGCCAGCTGTATGCAGCATGGGATGGTGGCTTGGACCGCTGCAGCCCAGGCTGGCTGGCAGATGGCAGTGTGCGCTACCCCATCATCACACCCAGCCAGCGCTGTGGTGGGGGCCTGCCTGGTGTCAAGACTCTCTTCCTCTTCCCCAACCAGACCGGCTTCCCTAACAAGCACAGCCGCTTCAATGTCTACTGCTTCAGAGGTGAGCCTGCTGTCCTGAAGGGACTGAGACCAATCTCACAGATACAGAGTCAGCCCTGAAATCCTACCCCAGTTCTGAGCAGGTCCTCTCAGGTCTTTGTCATTTGCCTGAAAGAGGCTTGGGTGATGCTCAGCTTGTCACCTAGGGTTCTGATTCTGGTCACATCCTCTGGCTTCACTATGTGGCCTCTAGGAACACTCACTTCTCTGCATCTTCTTGCTTTCCTCCATGTCATGCCTTGTCTCTTCCAGTTTCAAAGCTGCCTCTCCCATATTGGGCTACCCAGTATGTTTCCATTTCTGGTCAGCTCATTAGCAGAGCAGAAGTGACCAACAGTCTTTTAATCCAATGAATGATTTGCTCTAGTTAACCAAATGCCCTCAAGAGCCCTCAGAAGAGTTTCCAGAACCTTCGGCTTGAAGGTGTTGTATCTTTAACCACAAAATATTGACGATGGACACAGGTTCCTCCATAGGGATCAGGTTGTTCAGGAGAGCTGGGTGTAAAGATGGCTTCCTGCCCACATCTTATATTGGGAGATGGGGGGTGGGTGGCACCTGGGACTCCCAGAGGCACAGGCTCAGGCCAGGAGTGACTAAAAATCAGGGAGGAATTGCCGTTAGGTGTCTTGGACCTTGCCCCAATTGTGAGCCTGCAGTACTGGTACAAGGGCTGGGAATAGAAATGGGAGAAGGTGCAGCCTTTACCCGCAGAGATCCCCTCGTCTGAAAGGGGAAGACAAGGCTCCTGCCATAGGAGCCTCCAATATGAGGGAAGACAAGACATCTTGCTCCCAGAATGAACAAAGACTGAGAGAAAAGCATTACTTTTACTGGGACAGATTTCTAGATCTGGGATGTGTGTGGGGACAGATAGGGAAGTGAAGTCTATAGGAAGACAGATCCATCTGAAAGGGCTTCCGGGAACAGGGAAGATGATGATGCTGGTGATGGTGACTTTGATGATGATGATATCTAACACTTCTCTGCACTGATTATGATTGTGTGCTAAGCACTGTTCTGGAAAAAATGGAGAGAGTAACTGAATCAGGAGGAGGAGGAGGAGAGGGGGAGATGACAGTGGTTGTAAGCAGGTGGAGGACAGAGAGGCAGGCAAGGGCACAGGTTTGCTTGGCTGGCATCAGCAGGGCTCACTGGAGCAGGTGACAAGGGCAGGACGTGCTGTCCTGCTTCATCTGGCTGAGCACAGATGGCCCTCGGGACTTTTCTTAGCCCAATTTCACCTTCACCTCATTGGTTTTCTGCTCTTGCTTTACTTCCCTAGAGACAAGGTAATCTATTCTAAAAATCTGATTATTTGAAGGGAGCAGACCCTGGGAGGATGGGGTGACCCTTTCCTTTGCCTTCTTGGCTCAGTACTGAGATCCTCAGATGCTGACTGTGGGACATTCTTCCTTCCCTATGCCCTTCAGCTCTCCTGGACTGGTGGTAGCCTGTCCCCTTCTATTTCAAAAGTCTTGGAGTGACTGAGATCCCTTGCCCCTTGCTCCAAGCCCAAGGTACTGAGGCCATTCTGTCCATCCTTATGCTTCCATCCCTACTCAAGGGAAGGTCTCTCCCCTGAGCTTTTCTATGCCCTGTCTACAGCAGTACTTTCCATCCCATCTCCTTACTCTGCTTAATTTTTCTTTATATGATAACACTATAATAAATGTTTATTTGTTTATTATCTACATCTAGAATATAAATGAGGGCAGGAAGCTTGCTGTTTGCTCTCCACTGTATTCTCAATTCTCATTCAAGAATGCTTGGCATAATACATAGTGGACACTTGACTAATGCTTGAGGAATGAGTGTTGAAGTCCTGGGATGCCTCCATGACCCCATGGGTGCTTCACAGGGAAGATGAGAGAGAACTGTGAGAATTCCATGGTCACTGAGTCTAACCCAGAACCCTCACATGTAGGTCATTACCTGGGAGGACAGAACCACCTATTTAACTCTCCCCACTGTCACTTAACTCCCACAATAGACTCTGCCCAGCCCTCTGCCATTTCTGAGGACTCCAACCCAACCTCTGACCTGGCCTCTGATGGACTGGAGGCCATTGTCACAGTGACAGAGACCCTGGAGGAACTGCAGCTGCCTCAGGAAGTTGTGGAGAGTGAATCCCGAGGAGCCATCTACTCCATTCCCATCATGGAGGATGTAGGAGGTGGAAGCTCCACTCCAGAAGACCCAGCAGAGGCCCCTAGGACACTTCAAGGTAACTCAAATCCCTCATCCTGGGGAGGTCTGCATCTGAGAGGTTGGGGGCAGAAGCCCAGCTTGATTCCAGGGTTATGGAGGCACAACTGCCTTGTCCTTTCTCAGCAGCTCAGTAGTGTAAGGCATCTCTCCTGTCCCTCTTCCAACCTTAGCCTTTCCAGCAAATTCCACTCCCAACTCTCTGGGTCTAGGGAGGCTGGACTTAGGAGTTTCCCTCTGGGAACAATGGGCCTTTTTTTTGTTTGGTCTCACCTTTCTCTCATTGACCCAAACTAGACTAGATAATTTTAACAGACTAGGAGAGGGAGATGCAAGGACTATGTTTCCTAGGCTAATGACAGCTCATTGAGGCTTCTCAAGTGTTGACTCAATACTGCAGCTTCTGTTGAAATTCTTCTGGTGTGGACCAAAGACAGCTTCTCCCCAGTGCTGGCTCTTCCCTCTCCCCCGGGCCTCACCCTCCTCAGGGGCCTTTCTCCTCTTCCTTCCCCTTCCCCTTTCTGTCCTCTGGTGGGTGCTGTCCCCGGTGCTGAATCATCTGTGCTTTGCCTAGAATTCGAAACCCAATCCATTGCACCTCCCATGGGGTCCTCAGAAGAGGAAGGCAAAGCATTGGAGGAAGAAGAGAAATACAAGGATGAGAAACATAAAGAGAAGGAGGAAGAAGAGAAGGAGGTGGAGGATGAGGCCCTGTGGGCCTGGTCCAGCGAGTTCAGCAGCCCGGACCCAGAGGTCCCTTTCCCCACTGAGCTGGCCCTAGAAGAGTCATTCTCTCAGGCATCCCAGTCATCGGCAGCCCTGCAGCCTGGTGCATCACCACCTCCCAGTGAAGAGCCAGAGGCTTCCAGACCTCCAAGCGTCCTGGGACCACCAACCGAGACTCTGCCCACTCCCAGGGAAGGGAGTCTGACATCCCTTCCACCTTTCACTCCAGTTGGAGCAAGAGAGGTGGGGGAAGAGTCTGGGGCTCCTGAGCTGTCTGGGGTCTCTCGAGGAGAGAGTGAGGAGACAGGTAGCTCCGAGGATGCCCCTGCTTTGCTTCCAGCTACACAGGCCCCTGAGGGTACCAGGGAGCTGGAGGCCCCCTCCGAAGAGAATTCTGGAAGAATTGTCCCAGCAGGGACCCCAGTGAAGACCCAGCCAGTGCTGCCCACTGACAGCACCAGCCATGGTGGAGTGGCCGTGGCCCCCTCATCAGGTACCTTTGCCCAAGGCTCAGCTTCCTTCTTCCTCCTCTTCCTTTTTCTTCCCCTGCAACTCTGGATCACCTGACCTGTAGTACTTTAACCCAACACTGCCCCAGATCTCCTGTCCTTTGCCTTTATTCTACTACCCACCTCTACCTGCGGGTTTCTTGTCTTGGAAACCCCACAAAGTAACTTCCATCCCAGCTGTGACTCCTTATGCTGTGGCCCCCAGTGCCCTGACCTCTACCCTCTCCCTATTTCTAAAATCCTCACCCCATTACCCCAGCCCCACCAATGACCACCTCAGACTCTCCTACTCTTGGGCTGTCCACCTGTGACTCACATCTCACTGACCCCACAGAGCACCCTCATGCCACAGACCCTAGGGTGCCTTCATCACCTGTTGCCCTCTTCAAGGCTCAGACCAGTCTCCCATGGCTCCCTTCCCCCATTTGGTGTGCTGTCCCTTTCAGTCACCTCCCATTGATATCAGGGAAGCCTGGGACCCCATCCCACCTCTCAACTTCTGAGGTCCAGGAGAGCCCTTAATCCCACAGAGCCTTAAGCGACTACTTCTGTGAAGTATTTTTTCAATTGTTTCATGGAAAACAAGTCTTGGAAATAAATCTCTATTAAACTGCTTTATAACCAAAACACTGGCACCCTCTGTCTGCACCCCCAGCTGTCTGCCCCTTGCATTCCCTAGATTCATGTCATGGCTAGCTCTTTGATGCTTCTTTTTGACACTGTGTCTCTCCCCTCTCTTTCTGTATCTCTTTGCCTTGCTTCCTTTTTCATCTTCAGCCTGAACATTCCCTGTCCTAGCAATCTAACAGCCCCTTGCTGTTCTCTCATCCTGCTCTTCTCAGGCCTGTCTCCGCTTTCCTTCCTGACTGCTGAGGTCCCAAATCTGACTGTACACATGCCCCAGAGAAGTCCTTGTTCATCAGTCTGTGCAAGTGCTGGGAGGTGTGGTCCCTCACTCTGGTGGGAAGAAACCTTCACTGACTCCAGTGTGTGTGTGTATGCATTTGTATTCATTTCTGGTCCATTTCAATGGCTCCCACACAGAACCACATATACAGAGAAGTGATGAAAAAGTCCTTCTTACCATAGACGCATTTTCCTGGTATCCAAGTACCCCAGGGCCCATGCCCCACCTCCCCCACTCTGGCATCTCAGCAGGGGAATTGTATCTAACTTTCAAATCATGGCCTATATCCCCCCTTCCACTAACCCCTGCACTAATGGCCACCCCCATCCCTTAGAAGGAATGGTTTTACTCTCGATCAACCCAAAGGTCCTCAAAGTCCTTAAGGCTGCAGAAGACACAGGTCAGAAGGCAAGGGGAAAAAGGAACTGTAGAAGGCAGGGAAATGGGGAGTTAGGTTCTGAGGTCTGACAGAATCCCTACCTGCTTAGGGAAGGCTGAGCTTCCCAATGGAGAGCTTTGCAGAAGGCTAAGATGCCCTCAGTCCCAGGACCCCCTCTCCTAGATGGCCTATGGGGGTCCAGGGATCCTTGCACCACATCCAGGCTCACACACTTCAACTGTTGGCTCCTTCCCAGCTGGCCTTGGAGTTCAGCATTGGTGGGCTGGGGAGGAGTTTGGGGGTAAGGAACACCATGGACAGTATCTGCAGTATCTTAGTTGCACACCTGGAGGTCAAGGAGAGGTCTTCTGGGATGCTATTGCAGCAGAATGCAAGAAAAAACTTTCTGGTTGTGTATTAATAGTTGGCCCAAACAAGGGGAGAAAAACAAGATCAGAAAGTCTTAAGAGGAGTTTCATTATCCTGCTCTGCCTGTCCTAGCTCAGGTTCAGCCAGGAAGAAGGACCTATGCCCTGGGTGGGGCACTAGGGACCAAGTTTGAATTTCTGTCCTCCAGGGTTGGAGGGTTGGAGAGAGGACAACAGGAGGAGCAGGTAAATGTGAGGAATGGGGGAGGGCTTCAGGACTTCCACACTGTGGGCGCCGGTGCTTAAAGGGCTGAATAAAACATCTCCTCTATCCTGCTTTGTCCTGGTGTGTAGGTAAAATTATTGGCAAGAAGGGAGATGACAGGGGGAGCGTTGCTGGAACAGCTGATTCATTTTACCCAAAACAGCTAGATCAGCCCAGCAAAAAATTTTGAATCAACTCCAGTTTCTCCATCCCCCACCTCTGCTTTGATCCCTTTCAGGCATTGGGATCTTGGGCCATAGTGAATCATTGTGGGCCTTGGCTTTGGCTGCTAGGAGTGGATGCCATGGTCTGAAGAGTCCTGTCCAGGGACAATTTTACTGCCCAGAGCTGAGAGCCCTGACCTGTTCAGTCTGTGGGGTTATCTTCCCCTGGGTCATCAGGACCAGAAAGGAGTAGAATATGACAGTCTCTCCAGTACCCAGGCTCAGCCTAAGGGCAGCCAGCCACTTCCAACCCCAGGTTCTTAAGAGAGAGTTCAGAGGAGAAGGCAGATGGCCTAGCCAGATGGAGCTAGATCCAGACAGCAGATTACAGGCCTTCAGGACAGGGCGTTAGTGTAAGGAGAATGCCTGGAGAAGAGAGAGCCAGAAGGAGGGAGGGAGATGCATCAGAGAAGTTTCTAGACTGACAAACTTGCAGAAAGCCTGAACTAGAGGGTGAAGGGGAAGTATGGTAAGGAGGGAGAATGTGTGGGGATAAGAAGGGGAGGCAAAGGATGGTGTTGAGAGTGTGTGGGGCCAGCACTGTAGGACAGTGAGAGCCACTGTCCTACAGCTCCTCTCACAAGCTTCTGGGGTTGACTCTGCCCAGTAGACAGCAGGAGGAATGGTTAGCTCCGTCTGGATACCACCCCCCCCCACACACACACACTCAGTATCAGGTCCCAAGAGCAGTAAAGGACAGGACACACTCACTAATGGCTGTGAGGACTCTCCTGTCCTCCACTTCAGTGTAGCCCACCTTGACTGTACAGAAAGAACTGTTCTGAGACCTGCAAAAAAACAAGAGAGTGGAGGACTAAACTCCCAGAGAGGTAGAGTGACCTGCCCAATGTCATCCAGCAGATCTAGGAACCAGACAAGTGTCCAGATGTCATGACTGACAGCCCAGTATCTTTCCCTACTGGGACTAGATCCTGAGGGCATTCCTGGCCACTCCCCCGCAAGCCCTGTTAGACTGGGCCCATGCTGGCAGACATGACAATAGCCAGCACAGAGCTGAGCCAATACTGAAGTGGGGAGGGTGTGTCAGGGGGACCCAAGGGGTAGGGAGAAATCCAGAATTCAGGGCTGGGCTCTAACCACAGGCAGGTTGCAGGGAGAAATTTTAGGGTGCTGTGATAGCTCCCAGGACAAGAGAGTTAGGGTGGGGGCTCTCTGAATCCTTTCCAGGACTCAAGCAGCACAGTTGGGCTCCCCTGCTTCCCCCCACCTCACTTCTCTCCCCCTCAGGTGACTGTGTCCCCAGCCCCTGCCTCAATGGTGGGACTTGCTTGGAGGAGGAGAAGGGGGTCCGCTGCCTATGTTTGCCTGGCTATGGGGGGGACCTATGCGATGTTGGTGAGTGTGTTTAGGGGCTGGTGTGGGGTAGGGGTAGATCTGAGGCCTGGACCCTGCCACAATATGCTGGCTCCAGAGAAAGGAGGGAGGGCATTGGTTTTGGCTTTGTCATTGATGAATCCCATTTAAGGCAAATCACGTAACCTGTCGGAGCCCTACCCACAATTTCCTCATCTGTTAAGTGGAACTAAAAATGCCTCTCTCAGGGGCTCCGTGTGAGAGGAGTACTCAGCATACTCCTGGCATTTTGGAATCAATACATGCCAGCTTCCATTCTCCTGGGAAGAGAGAAAGGTGCAGCTCTTTTTTAGGATTCAGGCCGGCAGAGACCCAGGCCAGGACTCCCAGCCCTCACCCTGGTCCCCAGACGCTCGGAGAAGAAAGGCATCAAGGTTCCCGGCACTGAGATTCCTTTAGGCCCCTCCTCTCCCTCCTTCACTACTAGCTCTTTGGCCCCGCCCTCCTGCCTAGGCCCCGCCCTCTCAGGTTGCGTTGGTGGGAGGAGCCAAGACCCTTCTAGGTGACCTGGACCCTGTGAGTTCGCGGGTCCTGCAGCCTAAGTTGTCCGACCTTCTGCGCCCCAGGCCTCCGCCTCTGCAGTCCCGGTTGGGACGCCTTCCAGGGCGCCTGCTACAAGCACTTTTCTACACGGAGGAGCTGGGAGGAGGCAGAGACCCAGTGCCGGATGTACGGCGCGCACCTGGCCAGCATCAGCACGCCTGAGGAACAGAACTTCATCAACAGTGGGCTGGGGATGGGCGGGAGGGGACCCTGTCACCTGCTCTCTCACACTCACTCACTCATTAATCACCTAATTAATGAGTGAGTGTGTTAATTAACACCCTTATTCATTAATTCAGTTACTTATTACTTGTTTACCTCATTCTATTAGTTCGCTTTCCTTTCTCTCCCTCCTTTCCACTCCACACGTGGGCGGTGGGACTGCAGGCAGAGAGGCTGAGGTTCGAGGGGGAAATACACCTGCATCTGCCTGGCGGTGGCTCAGGGGCCACCTTCAGTCGCTCCCACCTCCCTGGTTCTTCTATCCCCACCTGCTTCCCCCGACTCTGACCTCATTGAAATTTTTACTCTTTTTCTAGAGTTTCCCTTTTCTAGATATTTTTCTTCTTCCCTCATCCACCACGTCCCTGCTTTCTATCAGGCCCATGAATATAGGGTGGAGTGAGGGAAGCGCAGAGCTTGGGTGGTGGGAAGGACTCGGCTGTCACACCGACAGCTCGATCCCTGGGAACGGCCGCCCTCTGTTGGCAGCAGAGCTCACTGCACATCGTCTCCCCTGCGGTTCTTTCCCAGATCGATACCGGGAGTACCAGTGGATTGGGCTCAATGACAGGACCATCGAAGGCGATTTCCTGTGGTCAGATGGCGTCCCCCTGGTGAGAGGCTCCCGCCGCCTCTCAAGCTGTCTAGGTCGCTTCTTGGAAGCATCTCCGCGTCCACCCCCAGTAAACCCAACCCTTCTCCTTTGTCTGGCTCCTTCCTTTCCCCATGCCCTTTCTCTCTCCCTGGGACCCCCTCCCTTCTTTGTGTCCCTCTGTGTTCTCTTCTGGTGCCGTCATCCCTCCTCCCAAAGCCCCTGACCTCTCTTTTCCCCTTCCTAGGGCCCCCTGTTCCACAGCCCCCTAGCCTGCCCTCTCCTGTGCCCCTCCCGCCTCTCCTTCTCCTAGGCCTTCCAAGTCCATCCTTGCAGGGCTCCTGTGCTGGAGCTCCTCACCACTTCCTCCATCCACACTCCCTAGCTCTATGAGAACTGGAACCCTGGGCAGCCCGATAGCTACTTCCTGTCAGGAGAAAACTGCGTGGTCATGGTGTGGCATGATCAGGGACAATGGAGCGATGTGCCCTGCAACTACCATCTGTCCTACACCTGCAAGATGGGGCTAGGTGAGGGTGGACAGGGGAGAAAAGGGGTGGGAGCTCGGGACCCAGGAACTGATGCGTGTATGGACCGAGGGTGCAGAGCTGCAGAGAAGAGTTAGAAATGTGTCCCAGGCCAAGAGCATGGGAAGGATAACAAATTAGATGGGTCTACTCTGAATCGCTGCTCTTTTTTTGTATCGGGTTGTAGCTCACTGCTCTTCTCATCCTGGTTCTGGGAACCGTCACTCATAGAGCCAGGCTCCCCATTTCTGACTGTATCTCCCCTACAGTGTCTTGTGGGTCACCACCGGAGCTGCCCCTGGCTCAAGTGTTTGGCCGCCCACGGCTACGCTATGAGGTGGACACAGTGCTTCGTTACCGGTGCCGGGAGGGGCTGGCCCAGCGCAACATGCCACTGATCCGCTGCCAGGAGAATGGTCGCTGGGAACACCCTCAAATCTCCTGTGTGTCCCCCAGGCCTGTGAGTCTCAGGCGAAGGCGGGTGTGGGGAACTAGCCAATAGTAGCACTGGGCTCCAATCCTAGCTCTGTCAGTCACTGGATGTGTGGCCTTGGAGTAATCACTGACTCTGGGGCCAGGGAAGGAGGTGGGCTGGATGCTCTGGGGTTCCATTCAGTGCTGGTGTCAGAATGTTCAGCCAAGCTCTGAGATCTGAGCCAGGGCAAGTGTTTGATGAGTTCGGGTATCAGGGAGCAAGAACACCAGAGGGCGGTCTCTGAGAAAAGAGAGAAGGGGGAGGAGGAGTCCCGGGTGGAGTATGAGTGTGTGTGTCTTCTTCAGTCTCGAGCTCTGCACCCAATGAAGGCCCCAGAAGGACATCAGGAGAAGCTACTGGGGCACTGGAAGGCACTGCTGACCCCTCCTTCCAGGCCTGTTCCAGGTTCCCAAAGGGAAAGGCCTTGAATATTGCTACCCCAAGCACTGCCCTCACGCCCTACCATGGGAAGTGACAACGTAAGAGCAGTGGAACTGGAGTCCAAGTGATAGTACCTGAAGGGGCTTCTGGGAAATATCTGGGCAGCTTCAGTTCAGCCTAGGCCCTTTGACCCCTACACTGAGCATCGGGTTCTTCCCTCAGGACGTTGCCCCTAAGTGCCTCAACCGCCCTCTCCTTACCAGCCATCCTGTCCCCTCCGTTCCCCTGGGGGGCTCTGTGTTCACTCATTCTCAGTTTTCCAAAGGAATGAGTTTGCAGGACAGCAGACCTGTAAAACCCGCAGGAAATAAAGCTGCCTTTGAGCCCAAGCAAGTTTGATGCTTTTGCGAGAGAGAGAAAAGTGGTGTTGGGATGAGCCTCACAGGATAAATAGAACTTCTGGGTTTATTGGTTTCTGAAGGTCAGAGAAATCCCCCAAATTTCAGGGGATAGAATAGCGCCTGGCACAGAGCAGCTGCCAGGAAGGGTTTATGGGATCGGGGCTTAGGGGACAGCATCAGGGTGTTTGGAAGGAGCTGGAGTGTCCAGAATGGTCAAACAGACCTAGAGGAGTTCAGTCTGGGAAGGGGTCGTGGGCCCAGAGAGCAAAGCAGAAAGGTGTCCCAGTTCCTGAGGGGGGTTCACTGCGGGGCGTGGGGGGGAGAGTGAAGGTGAAGGGAATACAAGTCTGGGCGTTAGACTGCAAGAGGGCTTACTTCCGGCAGACAAGAGAGAAATGCAGGAATAAGCACGCATGATAACGGCCAAGGAGGAAGCCCCAGCCCTGCTGTGCGCCGGGCTCTGGGAAATGACTTGTATAGGTCTCAAAGGTTGTAGCCCGCAGAAGGCGCTCCCGCGGCCAGCACCTTGGCTGGAGCGTGCTGTGGGCGTGTGCGTGAGTGGAGCCTGCAGGGAGGAGTTCCTAGAGAACCACTAGAGGGCGCTGCGATCTGTTTTTCTGAGTTGTCCAGGGCCTGGAAGTGGGACGGCTGGCTGGGGTGGGGCAGGCAGTGGGCGGGTAAGGCTTCCGGCCGGGCAGAGCTGTCCTGGGGACAGTGAGTCAGCGGAGGTTGAGGTCACTCTGAGAACTGGAAACAGAATGACCAGCTGCTTGTGTGCACGCCTCATTGCAGTGCACACAATTGTGCCTTATAGTGAAGTGTGTCAGAATGCCATCTGTCTCCATGATGGGGGTTAATCTTCTTGCTGCAGATCCTCACACTTAACCACACGTGTGCAAACTGTCATGTGCACACACTCCTGCTTGTACCCACTGTGACACCACATTCACTCACATGGGCAATTCTTATTCCAGAGAAGCAAAAGGCTGCCAGTAATGGGGAAAGACCCAGACACAGCTAAGCAAGGCAAAGAGAGACCGGGGCTCTCCCAAGCCATCTTCGCCCAGCTCCTGGACCCTCCCCACCCGGTGTACAAACCCCAAACCAGCTGTCTCTGAGATACCAGCTCTGACCACCTACCACCGCATTCCTCTCACCCCAGAGCTCACCTGCTCCACCTTCTGCCCTCTTCATACAACCCAGCCTAGCATAGCTAGGGAGTAGAGCTGTTTCTCAGGGAGCTACAGGGAAGAGGATGATTTGGGGACCAGAGTAGACCCCCACTTTATCCTGTACTACCTTTCAGTTGCTCACTCATTTATAGGCATGTCAGGGAATTTAGCTGGATTCGTGAATGGATCAAGACTAAGGTGGGCCTTTCAATGTAGCACCTGAAGAAGAGAAGGCTCAGGAGGGGGACACTGTCTGTCCTTGGCTTCTTAAGGGAGGTTCTCTGAGAAATATATCCTCACAGAAATGGAAATTAGGCAGCACATTGGATTTCCCAGTGAGACCCTGATGGTGAGCTGGAAGGGGCTTTGGCTTCCCAGCCCCTTAGTCAGTGCTTTCTCACTGAAACCCCCCACAGCACTAGGCAGGGGCCCACCATCTTCTCTGATCTGTGCATGAGGAGCAGTCCAGAATTTGATACAGAGCTGGAACTAGAATCCTTTCCCCCCTCCCAATACTTGCTGGGCTGCTTGGGCACAGCTTCCTAAAACGGAAGCCTTCTGGCTTTGTTGGGCTTCCTGGGAAAGGGGGAGCGGGATCTAGGGGTGACTCAACACCCTGCACAGAGTCCAACCCTGGCCCGGGGGGAGAGAGAGAATGAATGAAGCCTGTCTTAGTCTGGGCAGGGGCAGTTGGCCCCTCATGGAGTGTTAGTCTGTGTCTTTGGGAAACTGGAGCAGGGGAACACTTGTATCTGCCTCTGCCTCTGGTACAGAGCACAGGCCTGCCAAGCCCCTGGATATGTGGTTAAACCCTCAGCCTTTCTCACACGTCTGAAACAGAGTCCCCCAAGGGTTTCCTGTTCTCTGGGAATGAGGAACGAAAGGGAGATCAGAGAGTGTATGGGTATAAGTAGAAGAGGGTGGTCTAGCCTAGGTGAAGGTCAGGGGCTTGGGCATTTCAGAAGGGCTGAGAGCCTGGTGAGATGGGCCTTCCAAGATACTCAACTGCCTGGTCCCCAGCTTCCCCCCAGGCTGCTCTGACCCACACCCCACTTCCTTATTCCTCCCCCACTCCCTGCCTCCCCACCCCCAGTCCTATACACTGCCCTGACTTCACTGGGGCCTTTTGTACCAGCCCTGAGGCCCTGCCTGTGGGCCTACTCCTGAGCAGGGAGAAAAAGGACCCCATTGTCCTGCCTGCTGTGACACAGCAGTTCCCAAAGACTTCCAAAAATGCTCAGCCTGTCAGACACCTGTGTGCGGGAGGGCTTTTCATGGGGGCTACATTCAGATCCTTCTCTCCTATTCCCCTGACTAGATGTCCTTCCTGTGATCTGACTTCCACCTTGCCTGCTGCAAAGCAACCTCCTTCCTCCTGGGAAGAAAGAACTGAAAGATTCGGGGCAGAGCATAAGGAGGGGGCTGGGAAGGAGAGGAGAGAAAGAAAAAGGGAGAAGAAGAAGGATGTGAGAAAATCCCCCTCTGAGGGGCTCAGCTCTACTCACTTGTCCGGTGGGTGGGTCTGTGGGCCCTGTATTTATTCCCTGGCAGTTCTTCCTTGGTCTTTGGACAGCTGTTCACAGAGGGAAGGGTATTGACCACCTTGGGCTGGAGCACTTGAGGGGAGCAGCCCACAGCCACCCGGCCCATGTGCTATGGGCTCCAAGTGGCATCTAGGGACTTTTACCATCACTGACAAGGGATGTTGCTCTGTGCCTCAGTTTCCCCATCAAGGTCAGTTGAAGTTCTCTCTGACATAAAATGAACAGAAAAGAAAGGAATCCAGGAGACACCAAGTGATTCAGGAGGGAGAAAAGCAGGTGGAAGACAGAGGAAAGGTAAAACGAGGAGATGGGGAAAAAGAGTGAGGAGTGATGTGGACCAGGAGGAGTGTTCTCCTTAACAGGTAGGATGGAGTCTCAGAAGAGCCAGGAGGGGCCCAGAGCCAATCGGGCATCCCCCCACTGCCACTGAAGTCTTCCAGCCACCCCTCCTGGGACCATGAGACTCCGGCTTATCAGCAGCTGAGTCCACAGCTGCTGGGAAGTGGTTCCTAGACAGTGGCCCCTGGCTTCTGCCTCTGTTTATTTCTGGAGTCACAGCTGAGTTGGGGGTGGGGAGAATAAATGGGTCTGAGGGAAGGGAGTTTAAAGCTGGGGAGGAGAAGAGTACATTGGGGAACAGGGCTCTAAGACCGAGGACTCTGGGACCTGGGGGTCATCCCTTTGGGGCAAGAGGGACTGGTCTACTGCATGAAGACCAAGTATTAGGTGGCAGGAGGGACATCCGCATTGGAGAGCACGGAATAATGGGCTTGGGGAAAGAGTGGGGAGCAGGAGACAGAGTCTACTGCTTCTGAAATATTAGCAAAAAGGCAAGGCCGAGCTGGGCGTCGGTGTACTGGATCGGAAAGGGGTGGGTGGAACCAGGGAGGTGTATGCGGATCTCAGAACACTGAGAGGAAACAGAGGACCATGTTTCCCTCCACTCTCCATTGCAGGCTGAGGGCCCTCTCCTCTTCCCTGAGCCAAGTTCTCCCTTTCCCAACTGGGGAACGTGAGAGTCTCCGCCTCGCTGTTTAAGGTGGGCCTGTGGACTCAGGAACAGATGCCTGGGTCCTTTCTTCACTCCCAAGAAGACTTTCCTTTTCCTACCTGCATGCAGGCGTGTCCTGCTGCAGGAACCCTCCTGGACAGCCTACCCTGCAGGGTGGGGGCGGGGCCCAGTAAGGACCCAGGAGCCCGTCCCCATCCTGGAGCCCTCTTGGGTTTCCTGAGCTTGTGTGGCTTGGTCTGCATCCCTCCCCTCTCTGTGGGCAGTCTCAGAGGCACATTCCAGTTGAAATTAAATCACATTCCTCCTTCCCTGCCTGGCAAGGACAGCAATGCTGACAGCAGCTGTGACACCACAGGGTCAAGTGGCAGCAGCTGGTTTCCCAAAGCGGGGCTGGGAAGGGGGCGCTGAGGGGCCAGGGCCTTTGAAAGCAATAAATAAAAACTGCTCTCAAGAGGCCAGAGCAAGAGGGGCAGACACTGTAGCAGAGGGGATCAAGGTGAGGCCGCAGAGCTGTGTGGGGTTTCAGAGGATGAGCCTGTCATACCAAGGGGGAAAACCAGTGTTCCCGCACTGCATTCCCGGAGGACCCCGGAGGATACCCTCTCCCCTTCACCCCAAACTGGGCTCCCAGAACAGACACGGAGCCCACGAGCCCTTTAAGAGGCCCCACTCTGAACTCCCTTGGCTGGAGCCCAAAGCCTCAGCCTTTGATTTCCTCTGAGACTCCATCAGCCGCAACAGGGACAGCGTCAGGCTGGGCTGAGTGGAGAACTCAGCCCTGACCTCACCCTCTGTGGCCCTCAGCCTGCACAGCCTTATAAGGAAGTGCCCCAAACACAGAAGGAAGCCACCTGGGGGGGGCACCCTACCCCCACCCACCCCCACTCCACTCAGAGGCTATATTTACCCAGAGGAGACCTCAGAATAACCTCCCACTTGTCCTGCTGGTGGCGGGAGAGTGCTGCCTCCCCGTCCCCTCCTCCAGAGGGGACTCTACCCTCCACAGTGCTTCCTGTTGTCAGACTGCATCATAGGCATTCATTCCCTCATTTGTTCATTTATCCAGTCCAAGTTCACTGAGCACCCTTGGGTCCCCAGGCACTGGGCTGGACAAAGGCCTTGCTTTCTGGAGCTTTCCACAATGGCATGGTCTTCTCAGGTGCCACAGCCTCCTGGTCCTTCTCGGGCCTCTCCTCGGCCCCGCCCAGCTGTCTCCTCTCTGCCAAGAGTTCCCCGAGGTCTCTGTCTGGGTGACTTTTAGGCCAATATCCCTCCAGTTCTCATCTCCAACCTGGTCCTCCCTCCTGAGCTTCCCGTCTCCCCCTCCCCCGGGGCAGCCCCTCGGAGCTCACAATTTCCTGCTGTGTCCTCTGGCTCAGAGGTGGGACTACTGTCTCCCAACTGCCCAGGTGAAAACAGTGGGAGCCTCTGCTGCCATATTCCCTCCCCCCCCCCCCACAGTGGATCGCAAGTCCTGAGAACCTGCTGCCTTTCCGTGCCTCCTCTCCATCCCCTGCTACCACCACCACCCCTGCCCGGGGCCATGGCAGTTGCCTCCCTAAAACGCTCCCGCTCACTCCAGGCCACACTCACAGTGATCAGGTCTCACTTTGAACGCAAACTTGGTCATATCACCTCAGAGGCTCCTCATATCCCTTAGGAAGAAGTCCGGATTTTCTGGCTGCCTGGCAAGGCCTTGGCCGCTGACCTTGACTCTTTCTCCAGTGTCACCATCAACCTTCTTCTCCCTCCTCTCCGCCTTCTGGCCACACAAGCCATGTTACTTTCCTCGAATGCCCAGGACTGTACACATGGTGTTTCCTCCACCAGAGTCCTTTTCCTCCCTCCGTCTCCTTCCCCTGCTGTCCAGCTCCTGCTCATCCTCCTGGTTCTCAGGGTAGCCTTCCCTGGCTACCTCCTTCCACCCCCCTCCTGCCCACAGCAGGCCAGCTCCTCTGCTCTTTGCTCCCCTTACTTCCTGTACTTCTCTGTTTTCAAATAGGATTCTACTCAAAGCCCTTATTCAATTAAAAGATTGTACGGGGTTCAATCTTTTAGAAGTCCAGGGTTCCTTCACGAGCAAGGAACCCTGGACACCCAGTGAGTGCATAGTGCATGGCGCATAGTAGATGCCTAGGAAATATTTAAAAATGACAGTCACTCCTTTTTTCACCACCAGGAATGTCCCTGTTATTTTTGAGCCTGTATTTCTCTTGCTGTATAAACAGATGACCATTTCCAGAGGGAACAAGCCTCCTACCACACACCCCCTTTATGAAAGGGGGTCCTCACTTTCATTAACTTACATCCCTCCCCGTTGGGGATTGTTAGCAGAATCAGCTGGTTTGGGTAGCTCTGTGGGGGACCAGGGACCCTGGTGTGTGGGGCAGGATGGTCACCCAGGCACAAGGAAAGACAGCTTGGCTTGGCCTCTGTCCTTGGTCCCTCGCCCAGGAAGGGGTGCCCGAGAGCCTGGGGAGACCATGCACAGTGTTCCTGTCTCCCTTTAGAAGGTCAGGGAGGGGCTTTACTTGCCTGGATGTCCTGGCTCCAGCCGGGCAGCCTGGCAGGATCACACAGGGCCTTGTGAGTGGTGGGTACAGGAAGCACAGCGGAGGCTTGGACGCCAGAAGGGTGGGGAGAGATAGACTCCTGGCCCCTGAGGGCAGGGTGTGTGTAAAATGAAGGCCTGAGTGCCCCAGATGAAGACTCCTGGGCGGAGTACAAAGAAAGGCATGGGCAGAGAGGCAGACAGTGAGATTCTGTCAGGGACCTCCCGTCCACTCCTCCTGTGGCCAGAGGACATGGGTGGCAGCCAGATCGGCTGAGACTTCCTCTCATCTTTCCTGGGGCCTCGGCCTACTCCCAGACTTGAGCTTGTCTCCAAATGTGGAACATTGTTTAGCAGCCCCTATCACGCCCCCACCAGGGTTATGTAGTGGTGGCACCAGACCTTCCTTCCTTACTGAGCTGAACTGGAGAGTGGCTTCTGTTTGGGTATCCTGATTAGGTGGGAACCCCACCTAATCCAGGAACTTCTAGTCCATCCCTGCCCAACACAGGGACCCAGAGAACCCCAGGAAAGGGGTTGGGGTGGACAGAGGCTGTGGCTGTGTGCCCCCCACCCTGCATCTGCCCCAGGTGCCAACACAGCCCCTGGCTCTTGTCTCACCCCTGCCACTTCAATCTCTCTTCCTCCTCACTTCCCCTTTTCTGCAAGGAAAGAACTACTGAAGGTCAAAGCTGTCGTCCTCCAGCTTCTCCTAGCCCTCCCTCCTGCTTTCTCTACCCTGGGAGGCCCCCAAAGTCACCCAGCCCAATGTCCCCCATTGTTTAGCTGAGTCTGAGATTCAGAGAGGTTAAATGCTGACCTGAGGCCACACAACCAGACCAAGGCAGAGCAAGCCTCCCTCTAGCCCCGCCCCACTCTGACCCGGCCAGCCCATGCAGACATCACAGGCCAGACAACTGTTTGGGTTTGGGGGCAAAGGGGCTTATTATGCTGGCGGCACAGAGGGGCCAGCGAAGGACAGGCCAGAGTGGGGGTGGAGGAAGTCCCACTCCCTTTAATCAGCTCTGTGGCAGAGATGATGATGGCCTACGTGCTCAGGCACTGAGGTCACCTGGGTTGGCACCCTGAGCCCTCCCGGGGGCCCCAGAACTGCTGCCTGCAGCCCAGGTATGTCTGCTTCAGCTCTCGCAAGAGGCCTACCAGGGCATCTGCTCCTCAGGAGGCAGCCCATCCCCAACACCAGCATCTCCCAGTTCTCCCCTGAGGACCCCCTGAATTGGGAAGGAGTCCAGACTTTGTAGGTGGAGGCATTGCTTTATTTTATTTAGGCAAAAAGGAGTCAGACAGAGCCCCATAGGGCAGGAGTATGTGGAGTCAGGACACGGAAGTGTCCTCTCACTGGCCAGACCTCCTATGAGGGCAGAGTGAGGAGGGGCAGGGTGGTGAACCCCAGCACAAAGACCACCACAGCTACCCCTTTCCTTGGAGGAGCCACCGGAGCCCAGCTTTCTCTAGCTGCAGAAATGGGGGGGGGGAGGGATGCAAGGATAAGGTGCCTAGTCCTATAGGGCTTCAGGTGGCTTAAACCTCACGGGATAGTGCAGACATCCTGGCCCTTTTGCAGGGTCTGAGGGGCTGATTTTTATTCCTGGAGCCTCCATTTTAAGAATAGGTCCCTTTTCCACACCCCGTTTTACCTCACCCAGCCAGGCCTCTGGGGCAGAAACCACTTACGTTAAAGAGCTGGTCCTGAGCAAGGTGGGGGCTTGGGGACATGTCCCCACGTCTGAAGTGCAGGAGGAATGCTGTCTCTAATCCTCCCCTGAGGACCAAGAATCTCCATCTCCTTCCCTCTGACTGAACTTCAGGAGCTGGCCAGGGCCCAGGTGAAGAGGAGCCCCAGCCCAAGTGGTCTTCAGGGCACCCCCCTCCTCCTCCAAAGGGCTCCCTCGGTCCTCCTCAGGGGCCTCTGGTTTCCCTTGCCCCACCCTGTCAGACTGCTCTGACTGCTTCACCAACCCCCCATTCACATGCTCCAGCTCCTTCTTCAAGCTGGGGCCCTGACCATTGACACCAGGGGTGTACTCTGTCCCACTGAGGGTCCCTGGAGGGCCAGAAACTTGGTCTTCCATCTCCAAAGGAGCAGCAGACTCTTCCTCTGAGTCAGAGGGCTCGGTGCTGTCCTGGGACTCAGTCTCTAGGACAGTCACGGGGAGATTAGCCGCTGCTCCCCTCAAGCCATCATCCCGGGGGATGCTGACATTCGCAGCCCCTGATCCCAGGAGGTTCCCACTCCGAGGGCCACTCAGGGCAGGGACGCTGCCAACAGAGGGCCCTGGCCCCCACTGTCCCACCCCTGGCCCTTTCCCCTCCTCTTCTTCTTCTCCCTCCTCCCCACTCTCTTCCTCATCTGCAAACCCATCAGACTCCCCATCCTGACCCCAGGCCGCAGGCTCAAGTAGCAGCTGGGACGCCTGCCCCAGAGGTTCCATCAGTTCCCTGGCCACCCCAGGAGGGATAGAACCCTCAGTTCCCACGTCCTCAAATTCTGACAGGTCAGAGTCCTGGCCACATTCCTCATCCTCTTCTCCCCCTTCCTCCTCTTCTTCCTCCTCTGGGTGAGCACCATGGCCCTCAGAGGTCAGAACAGCAGAATCCCAGCCTTCTTTTCTGGTCTCCCCTTGAGGACAGGGCCTCTGCTCTTCACCTAGGTCCCACTTGGGTGAGGCAGGGGACCTGAGGTAGACGGCCAGAGGAGTGGAGTCGGGAAGGGTCTCCCCAAGCTCATCAGCCTCACTCTCATCTCTGCTCTCCTCCCCATCATCCTGGAGGCCCTCAGGGAGCCCCCCAGGCCTTAACTCCTCCTTCTCACCCTCCACTTTTTCCAGGGTGCTGCCCTCTAGCCTCCAGCTAGCCTCCTGGCTCCCCTCAGCTAGGGGCGAGGGCCCAGGGGCATCTTCAGGGATTGGGGTGAGTAAACAGGACTCAGTGGGCCTTGAGCTGGAGGGCCCCAGCACTGGTTCCACATCTTTGTCAGCTTCCTCTGACCACAGGGGCCTGGACTGAGGGGTGTCACTTTCATCACAGGGCAAGGTCTCAGCAGGGAACACCTCCTTTGCTCCCCAGGGGGCCTCAGGCTCCAATTCCTTTCCTGCCCCATGAGACTCCAGAGGGTCTCTGCTCTTCCTGAGCAGTATGGGAAGCTCTGGCTCCAGAGCAGCTGCCCCCTGTAGGTCCTTTCCAGACCCTTCAAAGTCCTGCTCCCTCTTTACCTCTAAACCTTCTTCCCCCAGGAGCGGCTCCATCACTTCCTCTCTGGCCAAGTGGCCTGAGTCCTCCAACTCTACTACCTCCTGCTCCAGTCCGTGCTCAGATCCAGAGGTGAACTCACCCCTAGCTGTCTCCAACCTCAAGGTGACCTCTGGGGGGGCTTGGCCACCCCCTGGGACATTATCCTCACTTTCCAACACTGGCTCTATCACCTCTGACATTCCCCAGGGAGCTTGGAGGCCTGGGGCCCCCCTGTGCTCTAGTTGCCCTTCAGGGTCCAGAAGGCCCTCAGCACCTCCTTCCCCACTGGCACCCTCAACTAAAACCCTCTGCTCTTGGGGCTCAGGGCTCCCTGAGTGCCCCTTACCTGTGTTCCAGGCCCCCCCTGTCGCAGGGCTTGGGACCTGCAGTTCTCCCTCCTCTGCTGATTCCTCCTTTCCAGAGAAGCCATCCCATTCCCTCAGGGCCAGCTCTGCCTCATCCTCATTGTCCACTCCAGCCCTTCCAGAAGGCATTTCCTGATCTAGTTTTTGGTCTCCCACCACCATATTTTCCCACCTCTGCTGATCTGTAGACAGTAGCAGCTCCTGTCCCTCCTCTTCCAGAGACCTCAGTGACTCTTGCCTCTCTCCCTTCTCCAGGCTCTCTTCCTCTTGCAGGAACCTTTGACTTTCCTTGTCTACCTCTTCTGAAGTTCTCAGATTTCCCAGAGACCTCAGTGATTCTTGACTCTCCTTTTCTAGGGGCTTTGATGACTCTTGATTTTCTTCCACAGACCCCAGTGGTTCTTGAATTTCCTTTTCTAGGGGTTTTATTGTTTCTCGATTCTTTTCTTCCAGAGACCACAATGGCTCTTGAGTTTCTGTAGACTTTAATATTCCCAGGTCTTCTCCTGCAGACTTTAGTGGTTCTAGATTCTCTGTTTCTAAACATCTTACTGCTTCTACACTCTCTCTTTTTAGGGATATTAGTAATTCTTGATTCTCTTCTTCAAGAGGTCTAAATATCCCCTGGTCTTTTCCAAGAGACTTCAGTGGCTCTAGTTTCACCGTTTCCAGAGGTCTCAATGTCATTTGGTCTTCTTCTCCTAGAGACTTCAGTAGCTGTTGAGTCTCTTTTTCTAGAGGCCTCATTGTCTCTTGGTCCTCTTGTTCTGGAGACTTCCTTTGTTCCTGATTCTCTTTTTCTAGAGGTTTCCAGGTCTCTTGATTTTCTTCTTCTAGAGACTTCAGAGAGGCAAGATTTTCTTTTTCAGGAGGTCTCAGTGTTTTAGGGTCCTCTTCTTCCAGAGACCTCAATGGCTCTTGAATCTGTTTTTCTAGAGCTCTCAAGGACTCAAGGTTCTCCCTTTCTAGAGACCTCACTAGTTCTTGATTTTCCTCCCCTGAATATAAAAATGTCTCCAGATTACCTTCAGAAGATCTCATTAGTTCTTGATTCTCCTTTTCTAAAGACTGCAGTGGCTGTGGATCCTCTTTTCCTGTAGGCTTAAGTAGTTCTACAGTCTCTTTTTCTAGAGTTCTCACTACCTCTGTGTCCTTTTCTTCTAAAGACTTCAATAGCTCTTGATTCTCCTTCTTTAGAGATCCCAGTGTCTCATGGCTGTGTTTTTCCAGAAACATTAGTGGCTCTTGAATCTCCTCTTCCAGAGACTTCAGAGTTTGTTTTTCCAAAGGACCCTGGGAGTCCTGGATTTCCCTCATGTCCAGATCCCCTTCTTCTTGCTGTGTTTGCTGCTGCAAGCTGCTTAACACTTTCACTTCTCTGGCTATTTCTTTCTCTTCCAGCTCCCACATTTGCCCTTCACCTTCCTCCTGGAATCTGCTGGATACTCTAGTCTCACTGGGTTCTCCATCTTTGGCCTCTAACCTGGGGTGGTCAGGGGCAAGGGGTGGAGCCAAGGAGGCATGATCCTTGGGAGACTGGCCTGCACTGGTCTCTTGCTGCTTTTCCCCAGATTCCTCTGGTCCTGGAAGGATGCTGGCAGTGATAGCTATATTAGCTTTAGGCTGTATAACCTGTGGAACTTGTTGCCTACCAACCTGTGGCTGGAGCACAGAGAGAGGGACATCCTGGGCTCTGATCTCTCCATCTGTAGCAGAGCAGGGAGCCTGAGGTGTGGGCGGAATGGGGGTACTGGCTAAGGTGAGGGTATGGGCTTGGAGGAATTCCTGGCTCTTCAGTAAGGCTGGAACAGGTGTCTCAAGGGTATTAGGTAAGGGTGAGGAAAGGGGAGTAGGATTCAGGACAGAGAGCAAAGGTCCTAGACACCGGCCCTCTGGAGTCCCAGGAAAATGCAGCTCCAGCTTGGGGTCTGGAAAGGCAGAAGAGAAGAAATGGTGTCAGAATATACTGGGAGGGGAGGTGGGGCCACAGCAGTTACCATTCCTGGCAAGAGTGTCCATGGACCTTGTCAGGGCTCTTCGGGGCCAAGGAATCAAGACTTAGACTATTGCCTCTCGGGAAAGGAGTTGCTCTGGGGTATGAAAAGCAAAGAAGGATAGAGTTTTGGGGAGGGGGAACATGGTCCCAACTCTTACCCTGGATGCTGAAGGAAGACTTAGAACCACAGCCAGGTACCTGCAGCCGGGAGTTCTCAGCCTCTAGGAGGGTCCTGGGCATGAGGGAGAAAAAAACTGGGTCAGCCCTCTGTCCATAGGCCTGTAGCAAGCCAGCCAGAAAAAACCCTGGCATTGCTGGAATCTTCATTTTTACCACTATCATACAAATGCCACAGGTGGGGTTATACTTGGCTGTGCACATGAAATCACATAATCACATACCCAGATATTACACACATGGTTACACAGCATCACACACATATTTGAGACACACAGATGAGCTTACAGACACACAAGCAGATTCCCACACAGTGAACACAGTGCACACACACTCACATATTGCTTAGACTAGTCTCCTCCTCCCACCACAGGCCAGTGACCTCATCCTCTGTGTGTGGGGCTCATTCTCATGCTAATTTCTGCCTTTGTCCACACCACAATACGAAGGGTCTGAGGAGCAGGCTTTCCAGGGGAAGTGGGAATTCTCAGGCCGTTCCCAGGGGATAGGCTCCCTCCTCTTCCCCCAGGGCCCCAGGAGCTAGTCACAGAAAAAAAAAAATCTCAAAAGAATTCAGCTCCCTCTCTCCAAACCCTTTTTATGCATCAAAAACCCAAAGGTTAAGCCTGCTCAGATCCTTCCCCTTGGTGGTTTGATTAGGGTCAAGGTTTTCATCTTGGGATTTCCAAGTACTCTGGACCCCAAGCCTTTCAAGAGCAATGGAGGTCTTTGTGTTTATGCCCCTGCATTGATGCCCGGGGGGGGGGGGGGGGAAGGGACCACCAGGAGGAGGGGAACCAATCAATTCAATAGGTTATGCTGAACATCAGCTCTCAGCTCTTCCTTATGATCTCTGTGCCTGGTTAGCACTGTCTGCAGTCTCATCTCCATCCTTCCCCATGTAGCATTCTGCCCTCTGAGCTCATGTAACTGTTTCCTTCCTCATCCGTGGGTCCTCACTGACCTTCCTTTCTGGGCCCTGTTTTCCCTCCCCTCAAGAACCTGTACCAGGGCAGCTGCCTTTGTTTATGGATTTTGGGGCAGTGTCCTCATAGCTTGACTTGCCTTGGCCCACACAGTGGGCTTGCTATATGAAGCTCTTCATGGTAGCAAAGCCCCTCCCTCAGACAAAATCACTGGAGCCTCAACTAAGCAGGTCGGTTTCATGGAAAAGGCTGTGAGTTTGCCCAAATCCACACAGCAGAGAAGCAGCACCTCCTCAGACTCAGCCTTTCCTGAGCTAACAGGAAATGTGGCTTGTAGAAGGGATGGGTAGGGCCAAGGGATTAGGGCTTGAGAGTAGTCAGGCCCCATGACATTCAGGATGGAAGGTGCCTTGGACATCTCCATCTTCCAGACAAGGGGACTTGTCATTGTAAGCCAGTGTCAGCTACCCACACCTGCAGTTCCTCCTTTCTGAGGTTGCCCAGGGACGTTACTCCTTTGGTGTGAGCACATACACACAGAGAAAGGGCTTTTCAACCCTTGGAGTAAGGGTCTGGATGCAGATGCCCACACGTGTCCAGCCTCTCTCCTCAGGCTGTCCCACTCAGCAATATCACTTCTCCTAGGGTGATTTCCTGGGCACAGGATACTTCTCTGGTCCTGAACCCATAGGAGATTAAGCGGGCTCAGGTGGGAAACATCCTGGTGTGAAAGGAATCAGCCTAGAGTCACAGAACCTAGTGGTGGCAGTGCTGCACCCATGGCTCTGATGTCTTCAGCTGAGGAGCCTCTGCCCTAGTCTATGTGTGTGCATCTGTGTGCCCAGGTGGGTCAGGGTGAACCTGTACCTGTATGTGGCTACTTCCAGGCTGAGGGACATCTTGAGTCGAGACAGCTGCTGCTGACCTTCCAGAACCTGGGCAATCTGAGTCTGTAGGTCCTGTTTCTCTTGCTCCAGGGCCTCCACAGCCAGCTGCAGAGCAAGCCAGAGGCAGTCAGTAAAGGGCAGAGTCTTGCCTGCTGACTAACCTGCGTCCCCCTGGCTGCTGTAGCAGCACCTTCTGCTCCTGACTTCTCTGTGGAGCAGATTCCTATCTCCTTGCCCCACTCTCTGCCCAGAGAACCCCCTCTAGAGCCTCCAGGAAAACAGGGCCCCTCTCAGCCTTCTCCCACAAGGCTCCTCCTCTGAGGATGCTGATTAAATGACTGCACATGCTGCTCAGAATTCAGATTCCACAGGAAGGGGGACGGGAGGGAGGGGAGGAGACAGGTTACACAGTGGAGGAAAGGGAAAAAAAGTGGAAGCAGAAGGAAAAACGATTAATCAAGACGCCTAAAGCCTGCAGGGCTGGAAGCCAAACTGCCCTAGTCTCAATCACTGTCTTTTGCTCCTCACGCCAGGCTCCCACCCCCTCCACTTCCTACATGTTCTGGAATCTGTCTTCTGAGAGAAGGGTGGGGGAGATGGCCATAGTGAGAGCTCTGTCTGGCCCAGGCAGGGGTCTGTTTTCTCAGTTGCTGGTCACATCTGTGCGGTGTGAAGGGGAGCAGCTGTCCCAGGCTTGTGGAATGTGCTCGGCAAGTTGAGAAGCCATGACATAGGGCGAGAACGGATGGGCCCTCACTGGGGGCCCCTCAGCCCCACCTGCCAGGGAGATGAGGGCAGTAGGAACTCTGGAGATTCTGAGTAGCAGGACCATGAGTCCAGCAGTGGTGAGAGGGAAAATCCTGGGCAGCTATCTTGCCAGTGACATCAGAGCCTGGGGAGAGGCCCAGTGGCCATCAAAGTGGGAAAATGTATATGTGTCTTGGGCTTGTCTGCCCTTCCAGGCAGTGTGATTTGAGAGAGCTCTGACCGAGCAAGTTGTGAAAGTCTAGGGCCTCTGGCACCAGCTAAGGGTTTTCTAAGAAGTGGTCCCTGAATGAGCAGCCATCTCACCCCCCACTTCCACTCCATTCCCCAGAAGGTCCCTGAACCCGGTAGGGCCTTCTCAAAGCCTGGTCTCGCCTAGGCCCTCCACCTCCTCACCTGGAATTTCTCAGTGGCCCTCAGTCGTTCCTGCCAGCAGCCCTCCAACCTCTGCACCAGGGCTGCCCTGCGATCTTGGAGGCCGCTGCGCTCAGTGTGGAGCTGCTGCAGTTCCAAGCGCCCCTTACGGGCGGCCTGCACCACACTACCCAACCGCTGGCGGGCCTGGCCCAGCGCCGTTTCCATGCGCGCCACACGCTCCTGGTAGCCGCTCACTGCCCCGCGCCACGCCTCGCCCAGCCGACGTGCGAGCTCCTCAACCTCAGGGCCCGGCCCCGGGGGCCCGCGGGTTGGGTTGGGGCGGCCTGGGGGCCCAGCTGCCGGCAGGATCAGGCCTGCGCGCTCCTCCTCGTGCGCCGCGCGCAGGGCTTCTAGCTCGCGCTCCAGCTCCGCCACCCGAGTGCTCAGCCAAGCCTGGGCGCACTTCTCCGCCTCGACCGCACGCCGGCTACGGGCCACCTCATCCTCCATCCGCTCGCGGGCCAGCCGCTGCTGCTGGCACCGGCCCGCCACGCTTTCCACCTCTTCCTCCAGGCTATCGCGCGCCACCTCCGCTGCATGCTTCTCCCGCCAGCGCTGGTCGACTAGGGCCCTCAGAGCTGCCAGCTCGTCGTCGGCACGGACCCTCCAGGAGGTATCCCCAGACTGTGCCCGGAGACCATCAAGCTCCGTGCTGAGCAGCTCGTAACGCTCCTCTAGCGCTTTGACCCGGGCCAGATAGGCCTCCAGGCGTCGGTTGAGCTCCCACATCTGAAAAGATTCCTCCCCCAGGCAGCCCTCCATCCTGCTTGTCTGACCCACCGAAGATGGAGAGACACGGAGAACGAGGAGAATCCAGGGGCTCTCAAAGCTTTTAGGATGAAAGGGAAAAGGAAACCAGATTGGGACAATGACTGGACGGAAGGGAGAGCAGCCAGAGCGACTGAGTTGAGAGTGGGAGCGAGCCTATTCATACTCCCGCCAGTGGGGGGGCGGGGGTCGGGAGGGGGGAGCGGGCGGGGAGGCGGGACCTAGGCCTTAACCCCTTAGAGTTTAGAGGAACAGCTGCATCCTCTCTCCCTGCGACCTAGGGACCTGGATAGAGTGTGGAACGAACGAAAGGAAAAGCCATGCCTGGAGAATCTGATCAGACTGTGGTGACTTTTTGAGGGAGAAAGCGGCGAGGAAGGGTCTTGACCCCTGATGAAAGCAGATTATCCACAGAGCTGGGACGCGCCAGGGGATTCAGGCCAGAAGAGGATTCCAGCCTGTTACTCAGCACACCCAAGAAAGGTATTACTGACTGAATTCCCCTAAGACACAATTTCTTCATAAAATGGGAGCGATGATGGAAATCTCACGGGACTGCTGAAAGGGTAGATAGATGTGGCCAGGTGTTTTTGTAAATAGAAAATACCTGCCTGAAATACTGGAAGAAGGGAGCATTGCAGAGAGAGGAAGAGAAACTGCCTGGGAAAAAAGAACAGATGCGCCGTATTGGGAGACTGAACACTCACACACACCGTGTTGCTTCAGGACCCGTCAGGAAATGGGAAAACCGGGAGAAAGTGTGCTCTGCCTATTTCTCACCTCCATCCTTCCTACTGCTCTTCCACATGTCCTGAGGGTGTGTGGAAGACCTCTGGATATGTGGAAGACCCTGTCTTAGTCTAAGACCTCTCCCGGTTCTCAGAGAAGGGCTCTACACCCCGGCCATGGTGTCAGGGCTGCCCCCTGGTGGCTTACAAACCGGCCCAAGAAGAGGAAGCAGAAAGAAGCAGCTATTTCCTTTATCACAAATAGCCCAAATTTATCGAGCCTCTGTGATGTGCCAAATCGTGCTCTAACATGATTTTACTTACATTATCTGCCTGAATCCTCCAAACATCCCTTTGATGGCCCTACATTTCAGGAAGCAGAGAGCCCACTGAGGGTGGGAGTAGTTGGGAAGGCCTTGGTAGATGGTGCAGGAGGGTGGGTCTGTGAGCTGGGCAGTGAATGAGTAGGATTTGGGGCATGCAGAGTAAAGGAGGAGCAGGGTCAGAGGGGAAGAGTCGGGGATGATACAACCAAGGAGGTCTAGGGAATGAATTTCTGCTCACGTAAATTCAATTCAGCTCTACGTGTGTTAATGAGCAACTACTAGGTGTCAGCATTAATTCCCAGCCCTGGAGGAGCTCACAGTTTAGTGATGGAAGTAGACATAATAAGATTATTGCCCCACTTAGCTCCCAAGGTACTTGTAGAGAGCTGGGGGAGCACAGAGGAAGGAGAAAGTTTTCTGGGTGGGGGCTACAGCAAGGTCAATGCCAGGAGGCCATTCGTACCCATGTGCCCTCATCCCTAGGCCAGCTAGGATTTAGAATTCACTGCCAATATGTGGAATGGAGGCCAGAGGGCCCATGGGTTTGAAGCGGAGGGAGTGACGTGGGGTTAGTGTAGACTAGGAGGCTGAAGCTTCTCCATCCTCATTTTACTGCACAAATTCTGCCGTTTAGTGTGGGCTGGGGGATCATCAAGAACTGTGTCCAGGAGAGCTGACTGAGTCCTCTCCCTCCTCTTTCACTTCCTCCCTATGAGGAGAGAGAAGCTGAATACTTGGGATCCCCTGGAATTCTTAGGGAGGTCCCCTGGAGAGGTGGGGTGGCATTGGGAGGCGAATTCCTTTCCTGGACCCCTCACTGTTATGCAAAGGGGAGACATTTGGTAAAGGAGGTTAATACTTACCCATCCCCATATGTTTGATTTGAGTATCGGTGAAGGCCAGGTTTGGGGAAGTCTTTGTACAATAACATTAGGCTGGAGCAAACTCTCCTCCCATGGGCCACTCTCATTGAGTTTTGGGGGTCCCAGGGAGCAGAGATGATCTAAAACTCTGGAGAAGAGTATTGTGTTGATTTCCCTAAGGCAGGAGAAGGTGAGTCTTAGCAAACACAGCCTGGTAGAGCTACATCAGTGCTCAGCAGATTCTAAGCAGATACCCAGTATTTGCAACAACGAGAATCAGAAAAATGAGAGGCCCAACATGGGGGCCAGCAGGCACTCACCAGGCACACAGTGGGCCGAGTATCTTCCTCTCCTCCCCCAGGGCTTGCATCGGATTACTGAGATTTTTGTGAGGTCTTTAGCTGCAGTTCTTGTGTTTCTGAGCCCAGGACGTCTGGGCCATGTGATACTGCAATGGTGGATAAAAAGCTCAGGAGCTGTCCCCAGAGGTTACCCATGAATCAGCTGAGGAGGGTTCTGTCCTTGGTCCTGACTGTTATTAGCTTTTATTAAAGACTTGAACGAAAACATAGAAGCTGTATTTACCAAATTGACAGGCTATACAACAACTAAGAGTTAGATTTTGACAGAATAGAAAAAATAAATGAGATGACATTCAATAGGGACCAATGTAATTCTGCTTTAGGATTTAAAAAAGTTAACAGCATAGGACAGGGCCTGTCTGGAGAACTCAGTTGGTTAGAGTGTTGTCCCATATGCCAAGGCTGCAGGTTCGATCCCAGGTCAGGGTACATACAAGAATCAACCAATGAATGCATGAATAAGTGGAGCAACAGACGGATGTTTCCCACTCCTCCCCCACCCTGTCTCTCTCTCCCTTCCTCTCTCTAAAAATCAATAAATAAGTCCTGGCTGGTGTGACTTGGTGGATTGAACATTGGCCTATGAACTGAAAAGTCACTAGTCTGATTCCCAGTCAGGGCACATGTCTGGGTTGCGGGCCAGGTCCCCAGTTGGGGTCATGCAAGAGGCAACCAGTTGATGTATCTCTCACACACTGATGTTTCTCCCCCTCCCATCCTCCCTCCCTCCCCTCTCTCTAAATATTTTTTTAAATAAAAATCAATTAAAAAATAATATTAAAAATCACAACATAGCCCTGGATGGTGTGGCTCAGTGAACTGAGTGCCAGCCTGTGAACTGAAAGGTTGCCAGTTCAATTCCCAGTCAGGGCACATGCCTGGGTTGTGGGCCAGGTCCCCAGTTGGGGGTGTGCAAGAGGCAACCAATGGATATTTCTCCTGCACATCAATGTTTCTCTCCCTCTCTTTCTTCCTCCCTTCCCTTCTCTCTAAAAATAAATAAATAACATCTAAAAATACATAATAACAACATAAAAAGAAAAAATAAAGAATAGAGCATTTTTAGTGAAGAAAACCTGGTGGGTTTAGCAGACCACGAGCATTTTATGAGCCGACACTAAAGTGGCTGCCTAAAAAAATAGAAAGAATATGTGACTCACTGGTGGAAGATGTCCACATCAGGGGTGGCGACAGTCTCTTTGCCCTTTGCACCTGGACGATTGTTCTGGACACTGTATTTTAAGAGGGACCTTTATGGGTTGGAATTGATCTCAGAGGAACATAACCAGATGGTAAGGGAACTTAGGATGATGTGTGAAGACTTTCGGAATCTACCTGTCTCAGGATTGCAGCGAGGCTCTGAAACTAAAAATAATAGCCTGTGATGCCACACAGCCTAAAGAAAGTTGCCAGAACCACCCTGAAGGCCTTCCTTCTGCCCCAGCCTACCCAGGCTACAGGAGAGAAAGCGGGGGGGGGTGCGGAGTGGCCAGCCCCGACAGAGGATGTGTGCTTCCCCCTCCTCTGCTCAGAGGGGAAGGCTGAGGCCCACCATAGCAACTGGGTGAGGACTTCCATAGGAACCTACTCCTCAAGGTTGGGTGGGGGTCTGCCTGAAAGACCCACTGGTGCCCTGCTCTTAGGCAGCTGTCTTTTAGGGCAGAGGACTTGCTCATCTGCCCTCTGGGCCTCACTAAGCAAAGGAAACATGGCCTGAAGAAAGATGGCCAAGAAAGAGGGGGCCACATGGAGCGAGGTGAGGTTCTGTGGGCCAAGGCTTCTCCACAAAAGGAGCCCCCGTGTGGCAGCAAGCTTCAGGCATCACTGCCCACAAGGGAGGCTGCCTCTGAAGGAGTCTGACCATAGTGCTAGGTAAATGACATTCACCTATGCTTCTTCCTCCCTCCTGCAGTGGGAGTCTCTCACAGGGGGCCAGAAGTGGGGGGGGGGGTGAAAAGCAGAGCACTTCCCTCCACTGCCTGTCTTTGGACCTGGGCCGAGCCTAGGAAGATCACTGTGGAGGACTGTGGTGAGGTGGGGGAGCCAGGCAGGATGGCCAGGCAGTCGCCACCATCAAGGCTCATGGTGATGAGACCTGAACCTAGAGGTCAAGAGGAGGGAAGAGATGTGAGAATATTTAGCTTGGATCAGTTCCAGGATGTGCCAGTTCTTCCTGGTTAAAATCAAGTCTTTCTATCCTACCTCCACCCCAACCCAGTTTTTGGGAGCAGTAGATGGAAAAGAACTGAAGGCTGGCAGGGGCTGGGCTACCAGGGAGGAAGCTGAAGGTGAAGTCTGTTTCCCATAGACCCTTGCTGCCCCGACCACACTGAGCTCCCACCAGGTAGGTGTTTGCTGACTGTCCTGTTGCATGCTGGTCTGACCACACCTCTGGGTTTGGCTCTGCGCACCCCACCCAGGGAGGGCACTGGCGTACCGCAGTGTGCCCGTGGATGGCCCAGGCCCCTGGAAGCAGTGTGGCAAGGGTAAGAGCACTGGCACTGGGAGCAGGCCTGAGTTTGAGTCCCAAAAGACACTTCACCTCTCTGAGTTTCAGCTTCCTTAGCTGTAAAATGGGGACAATAGTACCCATCTCAGCTGGGGTGGCTCAGTGGACTGAGCACCAGCCTGCAAACCAAGGGTAGCCAGTTCGATTCCCATTCAGGGCACATGAGAGGCAACCACACATTGATGTTTCTCTCCCTCTATTTCTTCCTCCCTTACACCCTCTTTAAAAATAAATAAACAAAATCTTTACAAAAAATAGTATCCTCCCCACCAGAGCACAGAAAGCTCACCTCTGTGAGAGCAAGGCAGGACTGGGTCTCTCCTGTCCAAAT